AAGCAGTTTTACATAGGATTCAATAAAAACGACCACAGAATGTTGCTGGCCCATTATGAACAGTAACCTCCGAAAATATCTTAATGAACAGTGCCCGAATTTTGAGTAAACTTGTGGCTTAATAATTCTAATTTTTTTTTCCGGGTTTTCCTTCTTCTTCTTCTTGCCCTCCCTTACTCCTTCCTTCTCAGCAGGCTGTTGTTTATATATTTTAGGCCAATTAAATATTTGAACAAGATAACATAGACAAGTAATTTTAATCTCGTACGTTCTCGAAACCCAAACTGATGAGACCAGGTTTTAGGAAGGAATTAAGCTCATCAAATTAATCCAACACAAAGATTATTTAATTAATTGATTAGTTGTGAAAAAACTTATTTTGTTTCTTTATGCTTTTTTTCTCCCCAGTACTCTAGGGTTTTGTGTTTTTTGGGTGCTTTGATTTATTCATTATTATTGTTATTAATTCTTCTTATTCTTCTCTTGATTTCTGTTGGGATGATGATGACGACGGTTAACAGTGATTATTAATTAATATTACAGTAATGGGGAACCCCGTTCTTGATACATCATTTCAGACGGACCCGACCAGGCCACACTAACACTGCTAGAATAGAATAGACAACCCATCATTATTATTATTATTATATATTTGCTCAACAAAAAATCGACTACTTACCCAGATCTAGTTTCTTCCTTTTTTTCGCTTCTCTACTTACCCAGATCTCCCTCTTCTTACTTGTCTGGCAGACGATCACTTCACCGCCGTCAACACCCGAGGCCACCACGTGACCCCCCTTTTCTTCCGCCCTCGTTCGAAACCAAAACCCATAAAGAAAAACGTCAGAATCTCATTTTGAACTAAAAACCCAAAAAAAAACATGTAAGCCCAATCCCTACCCGGATAGTTGCTTTTCTGATCATTTCTTTCATATCCGGGGAGGAGAAAGGAAAATAGACCGGGAAGAGAAAAGGGAATAAGAAAGGAAGATGCGGCTACAGTTTAATGAGATTGGTGTTCCACAGTTGAATTTTTTATTATATACTGCCCATGTGGGTTTGCAATTACAAAAGTGCCCCTCATTCTATATAACGTAAAAAATTAAACTTAATGCTCAGGGTATCGAACCCGAGACCAGTTCATCGATGAAATTATGGACAAGCGACAAAACCAGCTGCGCTCAATGAATTATTTGATAAGCAAGAGTTTCGTATACTTTTAACTGCTTCATTAAGAAAATCACAAATACTTAATGCAATAAGTGTTGTTCAAATAGTTTTGTACATTAGGTATTCATAAACTAATTCATGCATACTGTGTCTCCCACTTTTAAATAATTAAATATTAAATTTTTTAATACGAAAATATTTTCAGATAATTTACGACGACAAACAATCGTCGAATAATATCTATAACATTTTTGCGATGACAATCGTCGCAAAAAGTCCCAAAACATTCTGCAATGATAGAAAATCGTTGCCGAAAGTCTCAAACATTCTGCGACGACACACAATTGTCGCCGAAAGTCTCAAACATTCTGCGACGATAGAGAATCGTCGCCGAAAGTCTCAAAACAATCTGCGACGACAGAAAATCTTTGCTGAAAGTCTTCAACAAACTGCGACGACAAACAATCGCCGCATAAAGTCATTAAACATTCTGTGACGGTTGTTAATCGTCGAAGAAAGTCTCCAAACATTCTGCGACGAAATAAGTTGCGTGAAAAAGAAATGACCGTTGCAAAAACCTTTACCCCGCTTACCACAAAATATAACCATAATGCGCGACGAAAAAACAAAATTCGTCGTAAAATATTCACTTTCTGCGACGAATTTTGTATCGTCGCAATAGAATCCGTCGTAAAAAGTGCAGTTTCGTGTAGTGTTCGTATAATCCACCCCCACAGTGGATACCAGATGTTTGGCTATCTCCAAAATGACCTACACCGCCTTCAATCGCCTCGGTGTAAACGAACATCTCCACTTGTTTAATGTTATTGGTGGTCAAAAATTGGACCATGACATCAATGTCCTCCTGAGTGGTAATGAAGAATTCCTCATTCCACAACGACACGCCATGTCTGTTTGGATATCGATACACCATACGATCAACTCTTCTCGTGCCATCCATTCAGGTAACCTCAGTACACATTTGATGGAGCTCTTCAAGCATCGGTCTCGTAGCGACCTTCATTTTATAAAAATTGTCACCGATGTAACGTACCCCCTTTCCGGTCTCTTCCATGTAAACATTCGACCGTAACCCAAGCGTGAACTTTTGGAATGCCATCTGCAATAAAACCGTAATTAAGTTATTACCATAAAAATCACAAATCACAATTAAACGTAATATAAAACAAACTTACGAATTAACGTTAACAACAACAAAAAAATGAAAGGTGCACAACTGAAATTTGAAGAAGAAGGAGAGGAGTGAAGGTTTGAGTTTTTCAGTGATGCCTTTTATATACAAAATTTACACTGAAAACCGCAGGGGGGAACGGTTTTAGTCTGGCATGCAGCCCCCACCCCTGCAACCTCCAGCATGCCGACATGTCGGATGTCGGGGGAATGGGGACGAGGCACAAACCGCTGGGGGGGGGGGGGGGGGGGGTGGGGGGGTGCGGTTTGTGCATTGACTTGATAAACCGCTTGCTTGAGGGGGCGGTTTCTATTGCCGACGCAGACGCACCCCGAGCATGCGGTTTGTGCTAAGGCAGCCATGGGAACCACTTCTTCCAAGAGCGTTTTTCCCAAATAAAAGAAATTGTTGCCCCAGCATGAGTTTTCATGAGAAACCGCCCCTTTGTAGTGCGGTTTTCTCTTTAACCGCCCTTCCGTGGTGCTGTTTTTAATTAATGGTGGTAGATTTAGAATTTTTTCGATTTGGGTCATAGTTTTGTAAAAAAAAAAAAATTAAAACGAGTTAGTTTTAGATTATTTCGAGAATATGCAATGCGGTAGGAGTAAAATGTAGAAAGTTAAAAGGAAAAGAAAAAAAAGGCAGTGGGTGAAAGGGGAAGGTGGTCGGGCGGGGGATAAAGTGGGGGCAGCCCTTGAACCCCATGCGCAATTAAGAAAGCGGTCCTGATCCCTTCTCCCTTTCCCTCTCACACTCTTAGTCGTTTTTGTTCTTTCTCTTCTCCTACTTGGTATGAGCCATCTCATATACTTCTCCGCCTATTAATTCGTCAAACATTCTTGTCTTCCATCCACACTTGAGGGTTCGTGAGTCTTCATATTCTTTTTTCCACCCATCCAGCTCTAGCTCACTACTATTGATCTCTCTCAGCCCTCTTGTATCCTATCCTTCATTTACAAGTTGGCAACAAGTACGTAGTAGGCCTACTTACGACTTTCCCCAACCTGATTTTGCACGTATGTAACATACGGCCTCAGGTAAATTCATTCATTCATGTGATAGAATCACAGTGCAGGGAGGTGTGGCGTTTAAGTCCATTTTTATGCTGCCGGCGGCCGGCGGGGTATGTATAAATATAATATCTATCAGTATGCACACTGGATCGTTTTTCTTATGTGTTTGGGTGATGTCTCGCTGGATCTATCATCACATCACCTTTGTCTCTGTGGGGAACGGAATTGTTCCATTCATATATATATACATACATCTCTATCAGTTCTGTGAGAGTGAGAGGTTGGCGTTGGCGTCGAGGGCTAGCTAGCTAGTCCTCTCTAGTTGGACAGAAAAGCTCACCCGATTAAGCACTAGTATTGTCAATTGTGTGTGTCGGGCGGCCTGCTGGTGCGAAATCCTCAGTCGATACTTGGTCTCCATCTCTTGTTACTCTACTATATATATATATAATAGAACGTAACTAAGCATAAGTACTAGCTAGTCACTCGATCAACTCAAGCAAGCTGAGGAGCAAATGGAAGGAATGATATGGATGGACGTGGCTAGGGTGGGTTGTATTGTGCCATCCAAATTCTGGACAAAGAGACAAGAGCGTCAGAAGCAGCAGCAGAGGCGAGGCAAGGCAAGGCAGGCTGCAGAATCGGACAAAATCACTCTGCACCAAGCTGCAGCCCGCGTTCCCAATACCAACATTACAACAACCACGACTCTTCTTTTCCTCTCTCTCTCTCTCTCTCTCTCTCTCTCTCTCTCTCTCTCTCTCTCTCTCTCTCTCTCTCTCTCTCTCTCTCCTTTGCAGGTTGCCCTGCATTGCAATAAGTTAACCAGAGAGAGCTTCTTCTTTCTCACCTCCCTCCCTTTTGTTTATCCATTTCCAGAAATATATATATGGGTTTTGTCTTTCTTTCTTTCTTTACTGAATTAGCAGCGCCTTCTTCACATTTTCGGTACACTTTTGTTTGGGATGAACGCATGCCCAGAACCCAGGGCCCCCTCCCTCTTGTTTAATTAATTATTTTTTTTTCCGGGTTTTCCTTCTTCTTCTTGCCCTCCCTTACTCCTTCCTTCTCAGCAGGCTGTTGTTTATATATTTTAGGCCAATTAAATATTTAAACAAGATAACATAGACAAGTAATTTTAATCTCGTACGTTCTCGAAACCCAAACTGATGAGACCAGGTTTTAGGAAGGAATTAAGCTCATCAAATTAATCCAACACAAAGATTATTTAATTAATTGATTAGTTGTGAAAAAACTTATTTTGTTTCTTTATGCTTTTTTTCTCCCCAGTACTCTAGGGTTTTGTGTTTTTTGGGTGCTTTGATTTATTCATTATTATTATTATTGTTATTAATTCTTCTTATTCTTCTCTTGATTTCTGTTGGGATGATGATGACGACGGTTAACAGTGATTATTAATTAATATTACAGTAATGGGGAACCCCGTTCTTGATACATCATTTCAGACGGACCCGACCAGACCACACTAACACTGCTAGAATAGAATAGACAACCCATCATTATTATTATTATTATATATTTGCTCAACAAACAAACCCCACAATCCACACCCAACCAACACCATTCCATTCCATCTACACCTTCATTCATCCCTTACAACGTAACTCCCTTCTCGATCTCTCACAGTTTCTTTCTTCCTTCATCTATCTCATCCTCCTCACCTCAGTTTTGTGCTTGCTATCTCCACCTTTTCACTTTCATTTACTACGTACTGGAGAAGACAAGAGAAGAGTGGTTACTGATCACTACTTACCAACTATTGATATCTGATGATTATTATAGCCAGTCACTGTCAGACAGCCTCGCTATCTAATCTAATCTATAATGGTGGTGGTGATGCAGCAGCAGCAGCAGCTGAATTAATCAACGCAGATCAGTTGGTTTGGCGGAGAGGTTAATATATATTTTATTGCAACGATGGAGGCGACGTCAAGCAGTGTGCCGCCGGGGTTCCGCTTCCACCCGACGGATGCCGAGCTGGTGGGATATTACCTGCGCAAGAAAGTTGCATCCCACAAGATTGATCTCAACGTCATCCGCGACATCGATCTATACAGCATCCAACCCTGGGATCTCCAAGGCAACTCTCTCTCTCTCTCTAACCCTACTATCTATCCACTCTTCAGCTTTCATTTTAACTAGGACTCAACCTGCTAGTTGCTGCTTCTCATCTTCTTTGTTTTCCCTCCTCCTTTCTTCTCTCTCTCTTTTCACGGATACAAGTCATGTTTCTCAAATTTTAGTTTACCCACTATTATGGTTCGCACTTAAATCGCTTACCATATATATGATTTTCCTGCCTTACATTATATATGCTTCTCTCCCAATTTTTTCATGATTAATTTCACTTTTACTCTTACATTTATCAACCACTTTAATTTCAGTCTTTGATCTGATTTCCAAAACTTTGGTTACTAATTAACAGAGGATATTATTCTTCTCTATTTTATTGCACTCAGTATTGAATTCAATTTTCCTCTATTCACTCTCGATTTAATCTTCAACTTTTCAATGTGTATTACGGAATTATTTGAAAATATTTTCCTGACTTTTTCAAGTGTTAGCTAACTAGGATCAATATAATTGCTCCTATATAGAAACTAATTGAAATGTATATATGTTTAATTCAAAACTAACATTAGTTATATCAATAAATAACGTTGTTGAGGGTATAAATTGGCAGTGAGGTGCAGAATAGGATATGAGGACCAACACGAGTGGTACTTCTTCAGCCACAAAGATAAAAAGTACCCTACTGGGACTAGGACTAACAGAGCTACAATTGCTGGGTTCTGGAAAGCAACTGGGCGGGACAAAGCAATTTATGACAAAGCAAAGTTGATTGGGATGAGGAAAACCCTTGTTTTCTACAAAGGGAGAGCACCCAACGGCCAAAAAACTGATTGGATCATGCACGAGTACCGCCTTGAATCTCACCATAATGCTCCTCCCCAGGCAAGTATTCTTAAACATGTTAATCTTTTTTGCTATAACATCTATTTCACCCAATGAATTAAAATTGATTGATATTATTTATCATCATCAAAACCAAAGTAATTTGACTTTCATGCGATCGATGTACCAATTACTATCACCAGTGGCGGATCCAGGAATTCTTCGTAGGGGTGTCCTCTATAAAAAAAATTAAATTAAATAATTATTAAATATGAAAATATCTAACTAATAAAAGTTTCATTAAAAGTTCAGACGTGTTTCATCAAATGATAAAATGCATTCGGTGTTTATACTGCTCAACAAATATCTCTCGACATGTCTTCCTAGACAAGGATATCCCGTAATTGAGTTTAATCGTTAGGTTTTGAAAATAATTTGAGATAAGAATAACATTTTACTATTATATTTGGATCTAAAACACAATAACAAATGAGTTGTAGCGTAATTGAAAATATATTAACTAATAGTGGCAGTGTCCCAAACTTAAATCACATTAACTACTACTTAAATATTATTTATACCTACTACGGGAGATTGGATAATCATTTTCCCGAATTTTAAAGGTGTCCCACTACCACTTAATCATTTTTTTTCTCATATGCATATTACTATCGTATGTTGAATAATCGTATTTCCAAATTTTAGGGTGTCCCGGGACACCCCTAACATGCATGTATCCGCCACTGACTACCACCCTCTGCCTTCTTTAACAATTGAAGAGGTTTTGTTAAAACTAGAAGCTATATATGTAGCTAGGCCCATTATTATCCATTGATCAATTCATCATGTCCCACAAGTTTACCTTGGTTTCTTACCCTCTTTTCTCTTAGCCGTAGAGGGGACAAGACAATTAAAAGAATCTCGTTCGTGAAATTGTGGATTAACAAACATTCAAGTGGGGTTTAATTACTGCTAATTATGAAAGTCAAGATAAAGAAAAGGGGAATCAAGTTTAATTTCTTTCCTACCGCTCCATTTTTTGCACGCCTACTTCCGACTTTGCCGTGCTCCCTAAATGTCGTCTTCGCGTTCAGAGTACCCACCAAAGTTCTGTTGGTCAAAAGTTACAAGTGAATGTAAAGGTACAGACGCATGAAAGGGTTGCCTTTCCTTGTTTGCGATTTGTTGAATTGAATTTTTAGTCAAAAGCAATATTCCAATTCTCTTCTCTCCTTTTTGGCATTCGAATTTCAGTACTGTCTTTCCGGCACCACTGCTGCTGCTGCTGCTACTTGCGCTTCTTTAACCAACAAAAAGAGAAAGCGATCTAGCTTTTCAACCTCGCCTTCGGTCTCCTTTTTGTTTTTGCCGGCCACGAATTGCCTCTCCTTTTCTCCTCCTCCTTCAACCGAAAAGACACATGTTGCCTTAAAGTAGCTATATCTTAAACACAAGTTCTGCAAGTCAATTGCGATAGCAATTAACTACTTTGTTAATGTTTTTCTTACTTATTCTAACTTACAGATAATTAAGAACAACATTAAAGACAAGGGAGACAATACAGAAGTCGTGCATAACTTGACATGCCGTATCTGTGGTCCTTTTCAAAAAAAAAAAATTAATAATAATAATAATTGTATATGTGGTCCTTGCTTAAATGAAAATAGCAAAATTATTATATTCCAATGAATGGATGGCTTATGGTACACTTACTTATACTAAACCTCAAATAACTTTAATGAGTTGCAATTTGGTAAGAATTTCCGATTTAGTTAAGTGATATAAATTTATAATCGAATATCTCTCATAACTAGTCTTAATGAAACCAATTGCTTCTTAACAAACACAACGCCTAGTTAATTAGCTTCTGTAGGTTGACTGCAATAACATAGCCTATGAGGTCGACTGAAAAGTTGATCCAGTCAACTAGGATGTCCATCAGGTTCCAAAAATGTTAATGTTTAGTTCTTATAGAAATTTATCACGCTCTCAATAGAAACTTGGAAGAAGACATTGCATACTCCGGATTTGCGAAGCATTAACAAATCATAATGAGAAAAATTAATATAAAATAAAGGTTTGTATTGGATTTTTTTTATATACTAAGAATTCAATAAAGATGTTCATTCGATAAAAGAATTCGATTGTGGTTTAAAGATTAGTGTAGTTAGGGTATAGGGTTCAATGGATTCAGAGGTTCAAGTTTCAGGAGTTACAGGGTTAAGACTTTTAGGGTTTATCATCTTAAGGTATACGATCAATGGGTGCTAAAATTAGGATTATTGATTGGGGTTTAAAGTTTGGAGGTCTAATTTGTAACTTTTCCATTTCATTCTCCTTTGTCATCCTCTCTAGTGGAACTTCACAAATGATCCTAAGATTCATGCATTTGAAATGCAAACATCTAAAATAGGAAACTTTTTGGTTTGCATATATGTTTCTATGTAATTTCAAGATACATGATTTTCAATAATATTCTTTACATTGTGCAAAAAAAAAATCGTAAAAAAAAAATAAAGTCCACAAACTCCCTCCTGGTCCAACTTATTTCTCGTAATTAACTAGGTTGCCCTACTTAAAGCAAAATAAAATCTCCAGACCAAAAGGGAGCGTATCAAGTGATTAATCTTGTGGTAAAAAATCTTTCATAATCTGCCACATCAGCACCACATCACCATAAACGGAAGGCCCATAACCATTCCGCCTATAAATTTTAAAGGGCTATATCTCTTTCGTTTTAAGTCGCAATTTAATTTTTTTGTTTTTGCACAGATAAATTGTGCTCTTCAAAATGATATCTAATTTGAAATGTTTTTGGAAACCAAAATTTTTTTAGACATTTAGTACCAGCCTATACCATGGTTGTACTGTTTGATACTACATAAGATCATACCACGTGGTATGGAAGTGTACAATGGTGGTATGAACCAAAAATATTGTAGGATGGTTGAAATACATTATAGTGAAAATGTGTCTCATTTTGTAGACCACAACAAACTCATCCATCTGTGCAAAATAAAAAATCCAAGTTAGAACGAAAATGATAAGATCCAATTTTAGAAAACTATGTAAAATAAAAAAGTTATTAAATCCCAACCCTTAGATCCGAATTTTATAGACCCACTTAAATCCATACGTCCAGATTTTGTTAAGGAAGGGTGAATAACCAAGGTTAAACACTCGTAGATACCAAATACCCCTCTAATCAAGATTATACTGAATAAATAGTAAGTTATGAGACATTATTTTGAGTACCAAAATGAGAAAGTGAACTTAAGGATCTGTTTGGAGAATATGATTTAGTGTGTGGATTCACTAAATTCGTTGATTTAATAGAACGTTATGTTTTTTTTTTTTTTGTTGCTTTTTGTATTGTGGATTTTAGTTTTAGAGATTAATCATTCATTTATTTAAAATCTCTAAAATCTTAATGCGTGGATTAAATATCTCATAATCATATAGATTTTAGAGATTAGTGCGTGGATTCACTAAATTCCTCAGAGTTAAATGAATGATAAAACACGAGGGATTAGAAAGAAATCGTAAATTGGGCGAACATTGGTAAGCTCTTAGTATGTCTTACTGTCTTGTGCTATATGTCTGTAGGAAGAAGGATGGGTTGTATGCCGGGCATTCAAGAAGAGGATCACCAACGACTGCCACAACAGTAAGAGCATTATTCAAGCTGGGTGGGACTCTACCTCCTTCTACGATGAATCCACCTCATCAGCCGTCGATCCGAATATTGAGAATTACACCTCACCGCAGCCGGTGCCTCACCATCCTCTCCACCGCCACCGCCATCGCCATCGCATGTTCTTGGCAGCAGGACAAGGCAACAGTAGCTTCTTCTGCAAGCAAGAAGAGATCGTCAACAACGATCAATCAGAAAACAACAACAACAGCAACCTAATTATTTGCAGTAGTAGTAACGCTTTACTGACTTCCACGGAAAGCTTCTTACACGATCTTCCTCAACTGGAGAGCCCTTCGGTGCCGTTGATGAAGCGCCCGCAGCTTGCCCCCTCACCACCGCCGGCTGACAACAAAGGCCCAAACAATATCAGTAATTACAATGATAATGGCAATAGTGGAAATTATACTAGTAACTACAGTAACAATAATGACGACAGCGGCCAGCTGGAAGAGCAGGTGCTAGTGATGGAAAACAGCAACAGCGGCGGCAAAGTGACGGATTGGCGTGCGCTTGACAAGTTCGTTGCCTCTCAGTTGATGAGCCAGGAGGAGAGATATGATATTGATGATAATGAAGAACAAACTGCTGACGCCGGTTTGGACTTGCCGCCATTGCAAAGTGGGAAGGAACAAGGCAATAAGTTTGGGATGAGCAGTGGGTTCTTGAGCTCCTCCTCGGATTGTGATTTTGGGATATGCATATTTGAGAAATGAAGCGTATTATTCATTAGGGTTTGGCATATGTGGGAGCTCTTATAATTTTTTTTTTGGGTTTCTTATAAGTATTATTGATGTGACTTTTGTATAAAGGGTATAATGTGTGTTAAATTTGTTTGTGATGGTAATACACCATTGATTCTACAATATGAATAAAATGTTTAAAATAAAGTTTTTTAGATTATTGTTGGATTCCAGATATCAAACATAAATTACCACTACTAACCTCTTGGTGTTAAGTAAATGGCAAAATACACTTGTATAGTCACACTTTTCGAATTTGTGATAATTATAGATAATTTTAGAGAAATTCAAAAAATATTCAATTTCGTCTAATTATTTAATGATGTCATCTAACAGACTCGATGGACTAAAGGAAAGGCTGACCTGTCGACTTTTCATCAGTAACAGTTCCACGTGAATGAATAAAATGAATTAAAAATAAAAAAAGCAAATAAATAATCTTCTCTCCTCCCAACCTCCCCTCTCTCTCATTGCCCTCTTCATCACCTTTCTATTCCCTAACTTCTTCCTCTTGATTTCTACAGCGGCCCAACTCCTCTCTTCTTCGGCCCTTGTGTCTTTTCTCTCGTGTGTCTCCTACAAATGTAATGAAGACAAAGAAATCTGATATGTCCTCCTTTTGCTTCCGTTTTCCCAACACCTCTCTCTCTCTCTCTCTCTCTCTCTCTCTCTCTCACTCTCTCTCTCCTCCTTTCTAGGAATTATCAAGTCAATCCGTTAGTTAAGAGAGGAGTTCGGTAGAAAAAAAACTAGCGGAGCTCTCTCCTCTCTACTTAGACTATGGAGCACGATTGGTGGATTGCTGATCACAATGATTTCGACAATCATCTCACGATGCTTAAGGAATCAGAGTCAGACATAGGGCTGGAAGAATAGTAACGTGCTACGTCCCTCTCCCATGAAGAAGGATTGGATAGCGAGTTTGTAGATTACTCGACATTCTCGTCCCATCACCAAAAGTGCGACCAAATACCTAGATATGGCTTGTGTGCCATGGAGGATTGATGTTCCAATAGAAGTAATGGTAAAAGGAAGCTCAGGCTTGGCAGAGAATGACATGCTTGTTCTCGATATAGCAAAGCGCATGCGACTGTCTAGAATGTCGTTTGGCGATTTAAACTTCCTTTATTAGATGAATTGGAGATTGAGGGACTGGGAAACAACGTATCCCTGTTGATTGCCAACGAAATGACTGCCTGGGCTGTCACTCCCTCTCAATCGGCTGAAATTGGTGAAGATATACCCTTTCATGGGCAAAATCCTAGGCGTGTGGATTTTGTTTTTCTTCTCGGTGATAGAAAAGACATCATCGACGATAAACTGATCCGGTGTCCTAATCGGTGTGAGGTTGTTGGGGATATTTTTTTGCCAAATACGATCTCCGTTATAAGTGGGAATTTTAAAAATAATATTATCCCATATTTTAAAAGTAAGAGTCCGTCCACTTGTAAACCTCTAAAAAACCTAATCCGAGTTGTTCAGGGTAACCCTGGCCACGAGTTATGTCTCTTCTATAAGACTCTCAGCCCTAGACCTATTAATCTTGTATTCTCTAATCGACGAGTAAGGCTTGCTGCGAGAGCAGCTGAAGACAAAACTGTCCCTAGGTTGACCCCAAGCTCAGGTACTTTGCTCTTCCCTCCCCTTCTCCCTCGGCAAATTAATTTGGACTCTTGCACTTCTTATACTTCCGCGTCTGGGTACGTGCTCGATGTTTCCATGGAATGCACCAACAGGATTCCCCGGCCTGGATACGTGCTCGCAGCGTGCATGGGCATGACTCGTCCGCCACCATTTAAGTTGGAAAGGCAATCTGCTAATATTGCTACCCCTTGTTTAGAGGATCACAAGATGGCTCACGTTGCCTCTGTCCAGTTGGTACAGTTCACGATGAAATAAGTGCAATCGACGAAATACCGAACTCCCCAATCCTTACTTGGCCGGATCTTCACTGAAAATAGGGTAACGACCATAGAGTTGCGCGAATTGGTGATTACTCCTTGGCTAATCCATTGATGAATCAGGGTGGTGATGGCAAAACATGGTCTGTCGGAGTTTGTGCTCCCTAGTGAAAAGGCTAAGATCTGGGTGCTCAAACGAACTTTTTGGGTGATCAATGACAAGATTCTTCACCTATGCTCATGGACTCTAGTCATTACGAAGAAATTTTGTGATGACCTCACAGTTGCACCATTCCGGGTTCAATTGTAGGATGGGAAAGAAGATTGTTGTACTCAGCAATTTGGGCGTAAAGTGGTGAATACCACTATCGGAAAAGTGTTGGAAGCATGCATTTTTGCCTTTCAGGATACGGATCGCTAGTTCATGAAAGTCAATGCTCTGATTGATTTCAAAAAACCGCTATGAACACACATGATGGCTGCTATGATGACACGGGGTGTTTCTCGGTTAGTCTGAAATACGAATACCTCCCCAGCTTATGTTACCAGTGTGTGGGATTGTGGCATTTCCTCCGTGTCTGCACCTTTGAGCCACCGACCCGCAAGGAAAAGTTCGGACCCCATATGTCTACAAATTAGGGACGAGGATATATGATATTGAAGGTCACAATCAATCCTTCGCCAGAGGAGTCAAATCTGTATAGGTCAACAAAGACTTTTGTGAGACATGGAATAGCAAAACTGGTGTTGGGAACCAATTGGATCATGGTGGGGAGGTTCATGTGCATGCCCGCCTTTCTCATACTCGTCCCCGTCAACATAGCGTTGTGGCTGGCACTTCTCCAGGGGCTGGTGATATGAAACGTTGACAGAGCCCACGTGGCTTGAAGGTGGCGCGGTCTCCAAGAATCCGAGTAGGGCATACCCATACAAACTCGACCCCTGCTCGTGATCATGGTGATGAATCTTGTAGAGGGACTTTTCCTTGGCGGCGTAATGAGAGAGGAAGGATGGTGGAGATGGAAAAGCATGACCTCCACGAGCATCATCATATAGAGATGAATGACGTAGAAGGAATGTCGACATCAGACACTAGTGGCACGGAAATCTAGCTTGGAGCTGAGCATAATGTGGTGAAGATTCCACCAACTGAACCTCGAAGACGAAAGTTGATGTAAGAGGACTCAGATGAAGAACCTATCTCGAAAACTCTCCCCATGCGCCCCATGCCAGGACGTGCTGCTGATTGCGAGGAAAAGAAGAAGGGAATGCGGCTGCTTAAGTTGGGGGATAAATTTTTTGTTGTTGATCAAAAGAAAAAACGCACTATGACTAATACTGCCAACAAGAAACAATCAGTTGTTTCATCCTCTCGCTCCCGTGTCGATGCTGGGAACACCCACAAGAGCTCGGGCCAAAACTGACCTGCCAAGGATAAAGGGATCTGCAATAGCAAAAGCCACAAGGATGTTGTGGTGGATTACTCTCGAGGGGTGATCTCCCCTTTGATGGAGAAGGGCCAGCTGTCCCTCGCCCAGGAGCGGGAGGCTTCAGTTGCCTTTATCTCAGAGGAGGATGAGCTTTGCTTTGATATTAAAAGCACGGATCCTCATGCTGACCCTGCTAGGCATGTCAACTAGGGGCAAGTCGAAGTTGAAATGATAATGATGTTAAACGAATATGGGTCTAATTTTGAGGAAACTGTAAATGGGACCCATAAGCGTTCACTTCAGGAGATGGATGGAGAAATTGGAGATAATCCCACGCCTAAAAAGCAATTTGTGGAGGACCAAAGTGAGACAGAAAAGGTGGAGAAAGCCATCCTCGAGTGGCCCGGTCCAATAAATGAGGCTTCTAACCTATAATGTGAGAGGAATTGGACTATCCCTTACATTCCAAATAGTTGTCGTTTTAGTTCGTTCTAATAAATCGGGACTTTGTTTTCTTTTCTGAAACAAGATCGTGTGAGAGAGTAGTATCTCGTAGAATGCGGGGTTTAGGTTTTGATTCTTCTCAATATTTTTTTGTAGATGTTGTTAATTCATATGGTGGTCTAGTTGTAGCTTGGTCCCCCGAAGTTGATGCTTCGATGTGTTTTCATTCCAATTGTTGATGTCACTTGAATCGGACTATCAGCCGCTACGACTGGAATAGTCCGGGGTTCTGGGCCTGGTCTGTAACCATTTCCTTTGCCAGATTGGATTAGGTTTAAGTATAAATACTTCTCATCTCCTCTGTAATCTGTAATCTCCTTGATATAGTGAAACTAGGTCTCTCTCGCCCGTGGACTAGCTAACACACATCGTGTGTCGTGTTTTCGATTCTCGCTTTTGTATCCTTGCTTTGTCGATTCCAAATTTTTTTTGATCTGTAACAGCACATTTATAACAAGTGGTATCAGAATCGCGGCTAGAAATTTTCTAGGGTTTCGATTCTGAAGAATGACGTCGGTGAACATGAAGATCGAAAAGTTCACGGGGAAGAACAGCTTCGCTATATGGCAGATCAAGATGCAAGCTTTATTGAAACTCCAAGGGCTATGGGGATCGCTGTCTGCGAAACAGAATAAGGCAGCGGTCAATGACAATGAGTAGAATACCATGGACGAGAAGGCCCACTCGACCATCATGCTATCGTTGTTTGATAACGTCATCATTGAAGTCGTTGTTGAGAAGACTATCGCGGGCTTGTGGTTGAAACTAGAGAGTCTGTACATGACTAAGTCTCTAACCAACAAGCTGCATCTCAAGCAACGATTGTTAAGTTTGAGGATGCAAGAAGGTACGCCTTTGAGGGAACATATGGAACAACTTAATTATATTTTGTTGGATTTATGCAATATAGATGTGAAAGTTGATGATGAAGATGCTGCCCTAATCTTCCTTGTGTCTTTGCCGAGTTCATATGAGAAATTCGTGGATTCTTTTATTGCTAGTAAAGGTATCTTGTTGTTGGAGGATGTCAGATCTGCTCTTCACACGAGAGAGATCACAAATAAGGCATCCGGATCTAGTACAGGTGGTGAGGCATCGGGATTGGCTATTACAGGTGGAAATGTAAAGAAGAAATCTGGTAAAGGGAATTCAAACAAGAATTATAAGGGTTCCGGTCCACAGCCAGGTTATGCTTGTTTGTGGAGACGAGGGCAACAGAAGAACCAAGGTTCAGTTGCCGTGGCAGAAGTGGACAACAATTTTAAATAAGATCTCGCCTTGGCTGTAGATGAGAAGGCACACCATGGTGATGTGTGGTTTCTGGATACTGCAGCCTCATACCATATGTCTCCGAACAGGGATTTCTTCACAACCTACGAGGAGATAGATGGTGGTAACGTGGTCATGGCAAATGGAGCTGTCTACAAGGTTGTTGGAATCGGGTCTATAAAGGTTCAGACACATGATGGTTCATTCTGTACCGTGAATAATGTGAGACATGTTCCACAAATGACAAAGAACTGATCTCCTTGTGTCTACTTGACAGCAAGGGCTTCAGTTTCAAAGGAAAAGGTGGAGTTGTGTATGTTTGCTAGGGTTCGAGAAAGTTACTGAATGGCGTGAAACATGGTACCTTGTATGCATGACAAGGAAATGTGTTGTCAGGTTCTGCTGCAGTTGTATCATCCCAGGTTCATCAGGAAGATATGACCACTCTTTGGCACATGAGAATGGGGTATATGAGTGAACGAGGGATGCAATTTTTATCGAAGAGGGATCTTCTTTGTGGCACAAGGTGCATAATTTGGAGTTATGTGAGAATTGTGTGTTTGGGAGCTACATCGCAGCAAGTTTCCCAAGAAGGGTATCCACCGGACGAAGGGGATGCTGGATTACCTCCACTCCGACTGTTGGGGTCCTTCACGAGTTGAATCCATTGGAGGCAGCAGGTATTTTCCGTCTATTATTGATGATTATTCGAGATTTACTGGGATTTTCACAATGAAACAAAAAAGTGAGGCTTTCACGAAGTTCAAGCAGTGGAAGACATTGGTGTAGAATCAGACCGGGAAAAAGATCAAGAAGCTGCGAACGGACAATGGTCTAGAGTTCTGCAATTCTAAGTTCAACGAATTCTGCAAGGATGAAAGGATTGCCCGTCAACGAACCGTTAGAGATACACCCCGGCAGAATGGCATTGGAGAAAGGATGAACCAGACATTGTTAAAGAGAGCACGGTGCATGCTCTCTAATGCTAGACTAGAGAGAAGATTTTGGGCCAGCAGCAGTAAACATGTCGTGCTTCCTGATCAACCGTGGACCTCACACAGGTATCGAGTGTAAGAATCCTTATGAAGTGTGGTATGGTAAGCCTGTTGATTACTCTTCACTGAAAGGTTTTGGGTGTCCTGTTTATTATCATGTGGATGAGGGTAAACTGAACCCAAGGGCAAAGAAGGGTGTATTTGTGGGTTACGATGGGGTTTAGGGACTTCGAGTCTAGTCACCTTCCGAGCATCGAGTTATACTTAGTAGAAATGTGATATTTGATGAGAAGTCTATGTTTAACTCCCCATGTTGAAGGTTACTATCGTTGAAGGTAGCAGGAATGTTTATAAGCATGTGGAGTTGCAAACTCTCAATGAGAGTGAGTTTGAGCACAAAGGTGGAGAAGATCAATCTGCGGATGTTTCTGCAGAGACAAAAACTTCAAAGTCCAGTGCACGAGCTATATAGTCTATGGCTTCCGGTAGACCGAAGAGAGCGACTGTAGCAGTACCTCAAGAGAGGTATGGCTTCGAGGACATTGGTGGCATATTCATTTCCGGTTGCTGAAGAAGTGGATGCAGGTGAACCAAAATCCAATAGAGAAGATGTTTCGGGTGGCGAAGCTGATAAGTGGTTTGCTGCAATGGGAGATGAGATGGAATCCCATAACAGGAATCAGACTTGAGAGCTAGTCAAACGACCACAGGGAAGGAAAATTGATACAAACAAGTGGATCAACAAAAAGAAGGAAGGAATCACTTCTGAAGACGGCATGAAATTTCAAGCTTGGGTGGTTGCACGAGGCTTCTCGCAGAGGAAAGGAGTTGAATACAATGAGATTTTATCACCAGTGGTTAGACATACTTCGATCAGCGTGCTATTAGCAATAGTGACACGTTATGACTTGGAGCTCGAGCAGCTAGACATGAAGACAACTTTCCTACATGGAGAGTTGGAGGAAGAAATTCGCATGACTCAGCCAGAAGGATTCTAGGTTCCAGGAACAAGACTATGTTTGTAAGCTGAAGAAGTCCTTGTATGGACTTAAGCAGTCTTTAAGGTAGTGGTACAAGAGAGTTGACAGCTACATGCTTGATCTGGCTACACCATAAGTCCATATGAATGTTGTGTGTATCACAGCAAGGTGGAGGATGGTTCAATGATCTATCTTTTTCTGTATGTGGATGATATGCTCATAGCTGTGAGGTCGACGTCTGATATCCATAAGTTAAAGGGGATTCTCAGTGTTGAGTTTGAGATGAAAGATTTGGGAGCTGCTCAGAAGATCTTGGGTATGGAGATTTAGAGGGACATGTCAAAGAAGAAGCTTTTCTTGTCACAGAAGAGCTACATCCAGAAGATATTGTCGAGGTTTGTCATGTCTTCAGCAATGCCCTTAAATACTCCTAGTGCTTCAAATGTTCATCTATTCCCAGCTTATGCACCGCAGTCAGAGGCTGAGAAGGAGTACATGTCGAGAGTCTCATATGCTAGTACGGTAGGTAGCTTGATGTACGCTATGGTATGCACTAGACCTGATCTTGCCCATATTGTTAGTGTTGTCAGCAGGTTCATGATACAACCTGGGAAGGAGCATTGGCAAGTTGTGAAGTGGATCTTCAGGTACCTTAAGGGTACACCTGATGTGGGGATTAGCTTCGGAAGTGATACAGAGTGCTTGGTGTCTTGATATTCTGACTCGAACTATGCTAGAGATGTTGACACGAGGATATCGATGATCAGTTATGCATTCACTCTTGGGAGTTCTATAGTGAGCTGGAAGACAATTCTACAGTCGGAATTGACATTGTGTACTACTAAGGCTGGCTATATGGCGTTGATAGAAGCTGCTAGGGAGGGAATATGGTTGAAGGGACTAGTTGG